ACAGCAAAATTAACAAAACCTCAAAAAAATGTACGAACATACAAGACAAGTACGGCTTTGGATCAGTTAGCTTATGAACGGTGACTCTGAGCTTAAAAAAACGTCCCAAAAAAAGGATTATTTACGAATAATTAAATACAAGAAGGATTTCCAAGATAACTGGTGATAAGTATTTAGCAATACTCGAAACAGCTGTATGCTCAGCCAAACATTCAATTAATTCATTTTAATTCATTATTTTATAAAAGAATTTTTGTTATTGTGGTTCACTACTGTTTAAAATCTTTTTATTAAACTTAAATATGATCATTTAAAGACCACTATCATTCATTTCAATCTCTTAAATGAGAAAATAAATTATCTTTTAGCAAAATCTATTTATAAATTCGTATATACCTTATATCATAAGAACACATAATAATTTTGTGAAGAATATCATGCACCAGAAATCAGGTAACCCAGTGAGGTAACCACACTTGATAGAATAGGCCCACAAGATAGGAAAGTCTACTTTTGTTTTGGTTGTTAAATATATCAATACTTTTTCTTACCACAGTACGTTAACCTACATTGTTCAATCAAAACACCAATGAGAGTTTTATTATCCTCTCTGCTCAGTGCAAAGCATCTGTTTAAGAACACTTTGGTATTCTTAAATACCAAATGGAATCGTATTAATTATTCCATTATAATTAAATTAAATAGGTTTAATCTTCTTGCCTGCCTAAAGTTTTCATAGTTAACTCAGTGGTTCTTAAATTAAAATTAACGAGGAATTTCAATGAATTTTTCTATAATGGTGTAGATTCATGCAAATGCCATGTCTAGATTCTCGTTTGTCTAGACATTCACCCCTTACGTTTTGTTCGAGTTTTTTATAGCCTGGAACTTACCACAAATTAAGGTGTTTCCTTTATACTAGTTTACTGAAAAATAATAGATTGTGATGCAACATAACTGAATGAATACTAACAGAATTTAAGGTCAGTAAGATATAAACAGGTGCAAGTTTTTTAGCCTTGGTTAAATATTGATTGCATATCATAGTATGCCTGCCTCAATTTTACTACCATCTTTAAACTAAATCAAACTAGATATCTTTATGTTTTCCGATTAGGGTTTTCTGCTCACTTTGTAGTTTGGGAATCCTAAAATATGATCGGAAATCTTAATAAATTATAGCGATACTTAAAGTTTTCTTTCTTCATCTTGCTTATGATCTAGAAACAAATGCGACCAGTACATAGCTCTCATTTAATATGTATAGTAGGTTAGGTTAGGTTATACCGGTGATCCCCAGTGGATTCACTTAGGCCTATTGACCCATTGTGATAATATGTATAGTAAGTAAAGGAATGTTTGTGACGACACCTAGTGCAGCAGGTTAAATGGGTTTTGCTTAAGTAAACTGTTATTCGGTTATAAAATTGTGGATTGAATATATAGCAGCATATACATTTTAGTAAAGAATATACATATTTTTTGTTCAGGCAAAAGTTTTGATTTATTTTCAGATAATTTTATATATTATATATGTTATTCAATTACATATATTAAATTATATATTATGTATTATATATTAAATATAATATATTATTTTTTATACATTTTGTATTATATATTATACATATACATATTATATATAGTAGCAGGAGTTTCTTAGGGATCGCCACTTTCCCCCACTCTCTACAACATTTATACATCTGATATTCCAATGTTAAGTCCCTCGACTCTGGCGTTATATGCTGACGATACGTGTATGCTATGCTCAGATAAATGTGCGCTCAACATAACCAACACACTTCAAGAGCATATAAATCTCATTCTGGAGTATTTCCAGAAATGGAAAATAAAAATCAATAATGAAAAAAACTAAGGCTCTGTTTATAACGCGTAAGTGGAGACAGAATCCGTCAAGAGTGACAGTGGGTGATATGGTGATAAACTGAGAGGATAGCGTTAAATATCTCGGCATCACGTTGGACAAACGATTCACATGGCTTAAACATGTTCAGCTGAAAAGAATTAGCTGTGCTAAAATTCTTCATTACCTCCAACCGCTATTTAGAAATGAAAATCTCAATGCTAAGAACAGAAAACTGATATATAACCAAATAATTCGTCCGTCACTTCTATATGGTTGTGTAGCGTTTAGCAAGGTCTCAAACACTACTATCGCGAGCTAGAAATTGTATAAAGCCGGGCTCTGAAATGACTTTTCAAAGTTCCATGGTACATTAGAACGAATGACATCCACAGAGACATCAAGATTGATCCCAACAAAAAATACATAAAGGATTGAGTCCTGAAATTATTTGCGTAAACTGACAGACTTACCAACACCGCGTTATCAAATCTCAAAATGGTTACAGGCTTTTCGGGGAGGTATGCAGATCTGAGGTCAATTATTGCTTAGTCTGATGAAGTCTGATGATAAACAATAATCTAGTCAAGGTGTAGAGAGGGGTTTTAAAGAAATCTCGAGTTAAAAAAGAGTATAAGTGCTTAAGTGCACTAGCTCAAAACAGCTTCAACATAATATATTATATATATACATACAGTGTTGTGCATAACAAAAGCAACCAAAATTTGCCCATCATATAAATAAGTTTTTTGTCTACTTTTTACTTTTCATTCAAAAATCTAAATACACAGTTTTATTTGTTATTGTATTAGCTATTATAAAAAAACAACAAAATCTACAATTCTTCATAACGGGTTAATTAATTCACACAAATAATAAAATATTGCGAAATGCGGCTGTGCAGAACAATAGCAACTTTATTCATTATATTAAATTTTTGTATTATTTTTCTAAATTTTGTATAAAGCCCTTTGCTTTTTATTACTTGGGCACTTCTACAGGTCATAGGTGATATTAAATTGTTAATAAAACTATTTGAAATTTTACACCATTCATCTTTCATGACCTCAAACAATTGGAAACTTTTCGACCCCCAAAGCGACGTTTGAGAATACCAAAATGTTCTCAATTGAATTAAAATCAGATGTTTGGGCTGGCTAATCTAAAATTGGAATTCCATTTTTCAAAATCCATTCTGTTATCAGCTTTAAGGTGTGTTTTGGGTCGTTATCGTACTGATATACCCGTCGGAGTGACATTTTTCATCCGCCATGGGGTACCATATGGCTCTCTAAAATTTTTTGTACACATGTTCGGCTATTATTTGGTGAATTTCATGAAAAGATCTTAGTCTAAATCCTGAAAAGAACGCTCAAATTATTACTGACCCACGCCCATGCTTCACAGTCGCTTGGCAGTTACGCGGATACAAACGTTTTTCTTTTTCGCGACGTACTGTGCACATCCCATCAGAATTAAAGATGTTAAATTTTGATTTATTGCTAAAAAAACTTATTTTTCATTTAGTAAGAGTTCAATTTAAGTGATTCCACGCGAAATTTGATCTAAATGAAGTATATTAATATTAATTAAAAAGCAAAACAAAAATCTGCCTCTTTTGCTAATGCTTTTTAGTCAACATTGGTTTTTTGACTGGTCTGTAACTTTTGAAACCGGTTTCGAGAGTAAGCCTGCGTACAGTACTAGAGTCAACACCTTGTTTAAGCTCGGCTACGACCTTTTTCAACGACACGAATGGTTGTTTTTTTTGTAATTCTTATAATGTTTCGATCAATTCTACAAGTAATCTTAAGAGAGGCTTCACCCAAATAAACCGTTTTAACGGTATTTTGTCTAATTATATTTTTTTATAAGCTGCGAAACAATAAACTAATTAATTTTAAATATTTTGGCTATTTCATTTGAGCACTGCCATTTAAATATTTTTCAATTCTTGCTTCTTTAAACTTCAAAGTATACGTGTCACGAGCCATGATAAAAACGTACTTCCATTACCTGATTTAATATTGAACTATTCTGTGTTTATGTTCTAATTTGCTTAAAAACATAAATCACAGCATAAAAATGCAAAAAATCAAAAAAATATCTTGCTAGAATGCACTTTGGTCATAGATCTATCATTGATCTTGTCTCAGTTGCTATTGTTTTGCACAGCCGCATTTCGCAATATTTTATTATTTGTGTGAATTAATTAACCCGTTATGAAGAATTGTAGATTTTGTGGTTTTTTTATAATAGCTAATACAATAACAAATAAAACTGTGTATTTAGATTTTTGATTGAAAAGTAAAAAGTAGACAAAAAACTTATTTATATGATGGGCAAATTTTGGTTGCTTTTGTTATGCACAACACTGTATATCATCATAACATCATAGCATCGTGTTTCAGTAAAAGATATTAACGGAGCACTACTCCATGAGGCTATTATGCCCACAACTATTTAACAATGTGGCATCACTTACCGATGTACCGATACTGCTTATGGAGTGATGTTATGTTTCTGCGAACTGATGTCACCATCCATTCATCTTTCATAAATCATAGATACAATTTTAAAATGATCAAATTTTAAATAGTTCTTTAATGGCTTGTTGAACACAGTAGAGTTCAATTATCCATTGCTATATAATTGTATTAGGAGTAAAAACTATTTACTAAAGTGATGTTAGTTTCTTTCAACACTTCTGAAAAAAAATCATCCAAAATTAAAAAGAAGTAAGTTTTCCATTTTAATTTGAGCTTCTATGTTCAAATAGTTGTTACTATTTCATCACGGGATTAGTTCTACACTATTTAATATATTATGCCGAGATGCATGTCTGTGTAGTACAATTGCTACTTATCTCTAAGTATTTAAATGATATAATAAGAAAATATTTATTTTATTGAAAATAAATGTAATAAACAAAATGGAAAAAATGGTACAAAAACTCATATGCTAAGATAAAATGTAGCTGTTCTGCTGATAAAACTATTAGAGGAGTGATGTTGAATACAATAAAGACAATATAACTCATGTTTTAATAAAAGGTTGTTTGCCACACCCTAGAACAATCAGTTGTATATATACAGTCATACATACCTTTTGACTTGAATATCGCTTCGTGATTCGAACTAAAACAAGTAGATTTTAGAAATTCAAAATGTGGCGCCATCTGGCCATTTTCTTAACATTATGCAGCCTTGCAGCTGGTATACTCGATATGACACATGTAAGTAATGTACAGAAAAAAAATGAATATTATAAGATTCATATTAATTCAGTAAATTAATTCAGTTATTTACATTTTAGATCTGCAAAGACAAGAGAAGCGGTGAAATGGTTTCGAGTCCTTTTGATTGCCAAGCATATTTTATTTGTAATACTGTACCACAATTGCAATATTGCACGGAAGGTCTGCACTTCGATAATGAGCGCAAATTGTGTAACCTTCCCATAGATGCAAAATGTGTTATACAAACCATTAATACTGAAAATGTTGGCGAAATAAATAACGAAGTTGAAAATATGGAAAATACCACTGAAGACAAAAATGAAAATGAAGTTGAGGTTGAGGTTGATGCAGCAAACAATAGCGATAAAGACACAGCTCAGGCTGTAGATAATAATAATAATGATGTTAATGGAGATGCAGTGAATTCCAATACCGAAACAGAAGAACATTCTCAGTCTATATTTGTAGCATTTGATATAGCAAATGGTCAAGCTATAGATCCAATGACTGATTATGATACAAATCATATTGTGTGTCGTCATTTTGGCGCTTATTTCTTGCCACATCCGACAAATTGCCGCAAATATTTTATTTGTGCTTATGGACACTTACATGAACATCATTGCGGTCGCGGCACACTTTGGAATTATAAACGAATGGAATGTGAAATAAGTAATGAAGCTCAATGCTTTAGTGGATCAGAAGAAAATACGAGAACTACTTGGGAAGAACTTTCCACTACAACACCTACAACAGATTGGACACGTACAACAACTCCGCTTACAACACCTACAACAGATTGGACACGTACAACAACTCCGCCTACAACACTAACAACACCAATTTACACACTTACAACATGTGTTCCAATTTATACCACATATAGTCCAAATACCACTCCCACACTACCATCAACTGAACGACCAACAACATTCGAGACAACTGAACGACCGACAACATTCGAGACAACTGAACGACCAACGACATTTGTGACAACTGTACGACCAACAACATTCGAGACAACTGAACGACCAACAACATTTGTGACAACTGTACGACCAACAACATTCGAGACAACTGAACGACCAACAACATTCGAGACAACTGAAAGACCGACAACTGTTGTAACAACAAATGGAATTCCTTCTTGGACAACACAAAAACCACGTGATGATCTTAATGCAGAACAAACCATTAAGTGTCCAAGCAGTCGGCAAGCATATTTGCCACATCCCAAAGATTGTAACAAATATTTTATTTGCATCCTAGACATGCCAATTTTGACTTCTTGTCCAAATGGATTATACTGGGATCAGAAAGCGGAGTTCTGTGATACTGCAGAAAACGTACATTGTTTTCAAAAATGAAAATAGTTCCAAATGAAAATTAATTGAAATCATCAGATATTTAATCAGATTTTTCTCAGTAATAATGGTTTCCAAGTAATTATTAGAGATTTTTTTTATATTCATTTTGTAAATTTCAATTAAAATTATATATTTTTTTAATAGTTTGATTGTAATCATGTTATTTTAATATTTTTAAATACAAAATATGTGAATGTCTGATTTAGAAAAATTACTAATTAATTTTTTTAATTAATTTAATTTTTTTTAATTTTAATATATACATTTTTCCGTATGAATGGGCTGACAAAATCTAATTCTGATGAAATAATCTGTAAGAATTAAAGAAACACCGAATAAAGTCCTTTATAAAATAGGACTGAATATAAAACCTTCTTGAGCATTTGTGTGCAACAATCGACAAGCGAATCCTTTTAAGATTTTGTCAAATAATGGGTATCCAACGAGAATAAACTTTTCTTATGGCTAAAAGATCGTGTAATATTTTATATATGCTGGTATAACTAGGAACTAAAGACTAGGGTTTTCCCAAGCTCACAATAGGTTGCAGCATCAATCTTTTTTGATACAAAAACTGATTTCGGATGACCTTCATTAATTTCAGTGAGGTCAGTGAGCGAACTGCGGTCACGATTAAAATCATTGTACCAGCATTTCACAGTGGCAAATGATGGAGCTTTATAACCAAATGTGGAAGTAAGTTGTTAACATAACTGCACTCTTATCTTCATAATCCACGTCGAAAGTCAAAGTCGCAATAAATCGATAGAGTGGAATAAAAATATCCTGTAGATGATGAAAATCAGAATGTAAGAGAGAAAGGGGGATGAGAGCGAAACAAATATCCGTTAAAATCAAAACTGGACATCAAGATCTACAGAAGTACAGACATCTTAAGTGTAATTAAAATAAAATCAAAAATTTACTGTAAAAACTTATTAGTAAATAAGAAGTAAAAATAATTAGTTCTTCTATCAAATAATCTACTTCAAATGAGTTCTTCTGATATTTAAACCACGTTATTGCGTTGTTTGCCTCAATACTCTCCGAATATAAAATGATTTTTCTTTATGATAAGTAAGCAAAGTCTTGCTACTACTAATTCTATTTATAGTTTAAATACCTATTTAGCATTTACTTAAATTTATTTTTAATAATAATTTTTATCTCTAAAAATTTATTTTTATATACCTTATTTATTACACAATATTACGAAATTTTAATATATTTATTTTTAAACATTAGGTCGTCGGTAATTCTCACATTTATTTATTACTAATTAAAAATATTGATAGAAATCATGGGAAGTACAGAAATAATTCAAGTGGTTTGATTTAAATTATTAGATTTATATGCACTTAAGCTGAGAGTTATTTTAATTGTTTATGTGAACATTGGAACCTAATAATATTAAATGATTTAACTAATTTTGGCAGCTTATCATTGTAATGAAAAATGACTAATTTCGTTTTGAGAATGTTAAGTGGACAAAAGTGCAACAATAGAGTACAGTTCTATTAATAACAAAGAAATAGATCATAATATAATAATATGTTATTACATATACCATAACACATAGTATAGACATGTAGTATAACATAGTTCTTAATATACATTTAATATAGACAATATTGAAAACCCACTTGCAAGTAATCTCACCCAAAGCACTGGAATCCAGGGACTCAAAAGGAGCTATATTAACACGGCTATTGCAGAATAACGCCCGACATGGAAACGAAATTGGACGAAGTTTAAGCTAAGAATAATTAATTATACTTTTTCTTTTTTCTACTACTGAAGATTCTTTTAAAAAGCAAATATCAAAGCCACTTTTGCCAATTAATGTTACTTCGGGCTAAGTAGGCAAGTGAGAAATGAAGCCCTTTCTCGACAAATAAAAATCAGATTCAACTAACACTGATGAGAAGGCTTTAGAAGCATTTGAGATAATAATTTTTCGGAAGGTCTATACAGCGACATTGACATAGTTAAGCGTATAAAAATTCAACGGCTTGGCTAGCTTGTTCATGTCGTACGAATAGAGAAAAGCAGTCCGGCTAGGAAGGTGTTTGGTTCAGTACCCGCTGGTGTAAAACGCAGTAGATGATGTCCGCATTTTCGGTGGCAGAATCAAGTGACCAACGATTTGGGGGTGCTTGGTACTACCAACTGGCCACTGGTCGAGGTTGGCTGATAAAAGCAACTGCAAGTAACTAAGTAAGTATGTGCTTTCTGTGTCACTATTTGGATTATTCTTTTGGTCTCCTGAGTGTACGAGTAGTGCTGAATGAATCATTTATCAAATGTTATGAATCTTGGATAAAAACTTATGGTTGAACAGTTGTCAATTTTGCTTAACCAAATGCTATATTCATTTGATATAGCATCTTCTTTTTTTAATCTTAGATATAACAGTATCACTTAAACAAGGATATTTTGAGTCAATTATAACCGGAATTTTTCACAAAAAAAATCGATTGTTAAAGTTAAAGGGTTCATCTTAATCCGTATATATAAAAAGACTGTCATTGTTTATTGCCTTTGATGGGAACTAATTTGAATGCGACAAAATAAATTTTTATTAAGTGATATATTTTTTTTGTTTTATGTTATTAAATCAATTTGTGTAGTTTTTATACGAAATAAAATTTATTTCCAACTTGTTGAACTTATATATTTTATTTTATTTATTTTAAAAATATGACGTATCTTTTTTAATCCAGTTAAATAGCTACGAAAATATGTTCTCAACTTTTTATCTTGAACACCTCAACAAAAAAATAAAAAGTAATTATGAAAAAGTAAGATGAAAATTTACACATTGCAGAAATCAATTAATAGTTGTAAGCAATCTAATAAAAATTATTTCAAAGCATTCTTATCTATTAAAATACCAGAAAGCACAACGAAGATTTATATTTCCCGGTAAACTCTAATCTCACAAATGATAAGGAACATGTACTAATTTCCAATTTCAGTTCCGACGGAGGTTTATCTAATATTAAACATGGCTAAATTTCAATTAATGCTGTTCTCAGCGCCATATTTAAAGGGGAGACAGATTAAAAGTCGGCATCAGTTGCTGGAACACTAAAGAGATTTGCAGGTGTTCTTCACTACGGATACAAAACGAATATTGGAATATAGGATATTTTATAAAAAAAGGCATAGTAATGAAAGGTGAGATCCAAGTAGAAGTGTTAGAGTTTAAAAAAATTGAGCATATTTTATATGGCAAATATTTTTAAAGTTTGAAAATCATTCACTCAGACACTATCTTTTTCATTTTCCAGATATGAAGCTAACCCAAAATGCCTGTACAGGCATTTTACTTGTAATTTGCTTGCTAATTGGACAACAGCAGGTAAATGCTGGCTATACAATGGCACAGACTTGCGAATATGTTTCAACCGGTTACATTGGTGATCCGAGTGACTGTCAGGGTTGGGGTTATTGTTCCGGTGGCGTTGTAATAGCTTCCGGCAAATGTAAAGATGGCCTGCTTTTTGATATTGCAAATGGTATTTGTAATTATGCTGCCGATGTAGAATGCCGGACTACAGTAGAGAACGTCTGTGCTAACATTAATCAACCTCAGTATATTGGTGATCCCAATAATTGCAACACCTATTGCTACTGTTTGAATGGTGTAGCAAATTGCAACAGCTGTCCTAAAAGTCAAGTATTTAATCCTTCAACAACTTCTTGCGTATGGAGTAATACATATACATGCTCAGCCGACTCAGTTTGCCGTTTAGTGCCAAATAACAAATTTGTTGGCAATCCGGATAGTTGTGGAGCATTCTTACGATGTGTAGATGGTAGCGGAATTGCGGGTACTTGTTCTTCAGGTGTATATGACAAGTCTAGTGGCAATTGCGTAGATGGAAATCCATGCTCAGGCTCGCCAACTACTCCTGATGCCACTCCTTCACCAGATCCATCGGTATGCACCACAGGCGGACCAGCTTATGTTGAAGATCCAAATAGTTGCGCTGGTTACTATAATTGCCCGACAACCGGTACACTTGGTACTTGGGGTAAATGTCCATTTGCTACATTCTTTGATGAAGAGGACCAACAATGTGTGACTCCTTATGAAACTGCCTGTCGTCAAGATCGTTGTCAAAATCTTAATTTGGAGTTTGTTGCTAAGCCTGGTTGTCTAAGCTACAGTTATTGTAAAAACAGTGTAGCTGTTGCCAGTTACTTGTGTTCTGATGTTAATTCCAAATTTCCATATTTCGATGAGTTTTATCAAGCATGCGTTGAAAGTAGACCTGATTATGTCATTTGTACCGCTCCAGTAGCATAATTTGCATACTAAATAAATATAATATTTTAAATAAATATTGAAGAGCAAACTCTGTTTTTAATAGTTTTACACAAACAAAAAGAAATTTAAAAATGATAAAATACATAGAACGAAAATTATTTACAAAATAAACAAACATTATTTAATTTATATTAAATAGTTTGAGGAGAACGAAGACCACCACTTACCCTCCATTTTATGTTATCCAATTATTATCAGTGAATATTATTCAATGAATTAGTAAGACACTCAAGCATCATCTATTCTCTGTAACCATTATTTTAATCATCTTTTCTTTTTTATTTCCAAAACAGTATTGCGATAGATATTGAGATTTTTATCAGTGCCATAGTAGCCACATGCCGCATTCCTTAACCTTATTTATAATTCCTTGAGCTTCTTGGAAGATAAAATGAATTGAAACATTTCTAAGCAATTGATGGTAATAGAGTCCATTCATAAATAAATATATTGATATTACATTTTTTTCGAAACTTCATTCATATTAGCCTTGTAATAATTCTCGAGTTCTCAATTTAGTTATTTAACAATAATGACTTATTTCATTAAATGAAAACCAATTATTCAGAAATTATTGTAGTGTATATCAGGGGTGCCCTGATCAGATGTGATCACGAGTTGATACAAATCAATATCAATAGTTTTTTCCCAACGCAAATTTTATCTAACTGCAAATGTTTTGAAACATAAAATCTATATACAGAAGTCAAAATTTGTTTTGCGTCCCAAACTACAAACCTAATAATTATTTCATTCAACTCAATATCCTTAACTACATTTCTAGGAAATATTAATAAAGCTAAAGAGATTAAGGGGAACTCTTGGAAGGGATTTCAGAAAATTACTTCCAGCTACGAATTGTGAAAAATTAAGTGAGGACAAATCCATGATTTTATGATTCAAGTGATTCATATCATATTGTTAGGAAGTATAGAGTCAAGTATCACATAAGTGTTTTTCGCCATACTATTTAAATGTATGTTCTTTGCCAAACGGACATTCTTGTAAGCATACATCATTAATTATATCCATGTATTTCAATTTCATAGAGCATCAAACGATGTCATGTATTTTAAAATATTCTGATTAAATCTTCCATGACTCGTCATCCATTCATCAATAGTAAAACTAAGACTTTAATGACGTTAGTATTTTATCTTTTAAAAACCCATAATTGTATTTCCATCAATCAATTTATTTTTTGTTTAAAACCCATTCAAAACTGTCTTTTCCGCGTATTTTTTAATAAAGAAGACATAATAGAACATGAAGCAATCAAACAGATCTTTGAAAAGAACAAGATTTAAAGACAATGGAAATTAATATCGAAATGGTAAATATGTTTAGCAAGCTCGATCAAAAATCAGATGATCAGAAAAATTGGAAAAATAAGAAAATAATGAAGGGTACATGCTTTCAGTAAACCTGGAAAATGGGGTCGATACTCACACTTAAACAAATTGTTTCCTCAAAAACGATTTTAATTGAAAAAATATACACTTCAAATTAAATTCCGTTATTGGGTTTCCGTTCTACGAAGTTAGTATGGCAAGATGTACTCTCTATAATAGTGTGAACTTTATAATATATTCTGATGTTTCAGGACACTTCTTTTCCGATAATAATAGTTGTTGACTTATGCAATGTCATACTGTATTGCTTATTTTCTAAAATCATAGAATTAACTTAAATTATTCTATTTCTTATGTGTTGTTAGACCTTTGGAACCCTTAGATCTTCATGAGCATCGATGTTACAATTTGTTATGCCTATTAGTAAAACAGGCATAACAGTTTTACTTTTATGCCTTTAGTTTTTATTTAACTTTATTTTAAAATAACGCATTTATTTATTATAAATAATTTTTTATATGTGATAATTTTTTCCTATTACTGGGACTATATTAACAATATATTTAAACAATTTTATCTGGTTGTGATCTCTAGAAAATCGAATACAAAGTTTTCAAGGCGACTTCAATGTCTTGGAGATAACGAAAGTAAATTTATCGGATCCATTCAACTTCATCTGGAAACCCAAATGGCTTAACAAGGATAACAAAGGTTAGTAATTCGCCTCTCCTGGCAAAATTTTTGAGGACATCACAATAGGCAATTTATTCCTCCGAGTGGCAGTGCTGACAACTGTCATCCGCGCCTTCTGAACCTAACCTAACCTAACCTTGGTGAGAATATTATGATACTCGTTTACCAGCTGTAAGCCTCATTCCGCTAAGTATTTACCAATTACATCTTTTATTTCTAAATCTTAGTGCTAATTTTAATTAGTTCTATAGACTTATACTAATTTAATATAAATATTAAAATATATGATTAATATTAATCTTCTTCTATATATATAAAAGAAAGATGTGTTTTTGTTACACCACTTATAACTCAAGAACGGCTGAACCGATTTAGCTGAAAATTGGCAGGGAGGTAGTTTAAGGCCAGGAGAAGGATATAGGCTGAACCGATTTAGCTGAAAATTGGCAGGGAGGTAGTTTAAGGCCAGGAGAAGGACATAGGATACCTGTTTATCCCGTTCACGACAAAGTAGGTTTTGAAATTTTTCAAATTTTTGATATAAGAAAATATTTTATTAAAATTTAACAGTTTCTATAACTTAGTTAATGTGTTTTTAAAAGTTGTATTAGATCAATATAAGTTTGTGTTGCAATAAATATCGTTTTTAATCAATAAAACTACCTGGTTGTTGCAAACTCAACAAAATAAATAATTAACAATTACAATGTATGGTATGGTTGAACATTTGAGTTTTTAGTTTTTTAATAATGCCACGACCAAGACGATCGAATCTTTCCCGACAAAGCCGTAATGCAAGAAGAATACGAAATACTGCAAATTTAAGGACTGAAGGTCGAGCGAACAACAGAGGTCAACAAATAGATAATTTGCGATGTGTACTAAAATACACAAATAAATTATGAATGATTAATGTAGGTATTTTTTTTTTTTTGTATTTTTTCCAATTAAAAAAAAACTGCTTATTTATTGCCTTTAAGGCGGAACAGAGTTCGCCGGGTCATCTACTAGTCATATATATATTGTTAACAAATTATTAATTCCTGGATTTACTTCATATGTGCGAATGCTAACCCTAATATACACCTGGTATGAATGATGTTTGCATATGTATAATAAATTGATTATTCGATACTATGTTATTTCAAATAATCTCAATAATATATTTTTATTTATATGTATAATACAATTTCTTTGTTTTCTCTATTTAATGAAATATTTTGGTTAATGTATTTGAAACTGTCCAATATATTTGATTATTAATATTAATTATTACTAAAAACATATCATTAATGAATAATCAATTGAATTATTGGAAATTCTTTTATATTTCGCTAGAATCTGTAGATAATTTAAATACTTCCTGGCCTAACTGCAAAAACAGGGAAAAATCACATTGATCAGATAAATATATTATATCTTATAACAGATCAACAACATAGATACAATGCAGTACATCATCGATGACAATACTCATTTCCCCTCATGGAAGCGAACTGATAGAATAGATGCGTACATTAAGATTTTAAGAACATTGTGATATAAAAATTTTGTGAATTTTTATTTTTGTATTTTATTTTCAATGATTTGATTGAATTTTTATCAGAAGTTCTTTCTTAATTTCTATACAAAATAAAAATGAAGAGTTTTTAAGCAAAAATTTCATATTTAAAGAAGTTTGATGAAAATTTTGTCAGTTGAATTATATTTCCCAATTTGTGAAGTACTGAAATAAAAATCTGAAATATATTACCAGGAATACTAAAAATATACAATCCCAGATGACTTTTGGTAAGTCAGTGAAAAAATTAAAAAACAAGAACAAGGAATAATATTTCATGAAATATTGAATTAATTAAATATAAAATTTATGTTATCGTATGTGATGATATTCGAAAAAAAATTAATAAGAAAAACTCAATTATTCAAATTATACAATATATGGAACAGCAATTTATTATTGAAATCAAAATATAAATTAATCGTGTCTCTGACTTTAAAACATTTAAAACACATTTTTTTAATTGAAAATACTTATTTTCTAAAATTATTTCTTTCATAGCCAAACCTTTATTAGTGCTATTTATAGCACTTTTCGGATTGACGGCTGCCAATGTGAATACAACAAAAACACCAAGTGTTGAAGAAATATGTGCTGTTATGCCACCTGGTTCCATAATTCTGCGTCCTAAAACTTGCACAAATTGGGTTCGCTGCTCAACAACGCCAGGTGGTGAAGATAAAGAAGAAGGTTCTTGCGTACTTGGTCTTTATTATAATAAAGATAATGGACGCTGTATGTATAAAGATGAAGTCGATTGTCCCTACCTAAACAAAATAGATACACATACTGCTTGTACCCTTAAAAATGATGGTGCTTTCTTGCCAGATAGCAATAATTGCAATGGTTACATTTACTGCCAAAATGGCACCGAAATACGTGCAAAATGTCCAAGTGATTTAGTATTCAGTCCACAGAAATCCGCTTGCGTATATCCACATGAATATACGTGCCCTAAGAAACCAGAAAGTGCAGCAATCAGTCCAGTTTGTCGTTCAGTACCAGATAATTCATTTTTCGCCAATGAAGATGAATGTGTGAATTATTATCAATGCAGTGGTGGTGTACTTACCCTATATGAATGTGACAGAGACAGCGCTTATGATCATATAAAAGGAAAATGTGTACCTAGAGATGAAGTTGTATGTTTGCCATCTGCCAAAAAACCAGAACCAGAAAGTACCATTTGCGGTACAAAGGCTGAACCACGTTATGGTTATTTCCCTGATGGCGTTTCATGTAGTGGTTATTATATTTGCGCAAAGAAAGCTGATGGCAGTCGGGATCGTGATCCAAAACATATTCAATGTGACGAAGGCCTGTTCTTCGATCCTGATAACTGGACGTGCCGAGATCGTTTAAATGTTAAATGTTTATTGGATCGTTGCGAAGGCATGGGTAACAAATATGTCAACATTGCTGGTGACTGTACATCATACGCACGTTGCAGTAACGGCGAAGCTGTTAGCAGTGGTACATGCCCATCGAAATACTTCTTCGATGAACGTACGCAGGGTTGTACGCCACAGAATATTAACTATGTAGCCTGCCAAGCTTAAATGCAATTTGTAAACATAATTTATATAATATATAATACATAAAATTTTATTTGGTGATGGGAAATATACATTTGCTAGTTTTACTCAAAGAAATAAATAGATCAAAACGACTAATCTTTTGTATTTAATAAAAAAACATAGTACAAAAATTAAAATCTACTTTTAAAAATAAAATATTTATAATTTCCCAGAATTCATAGATTATTGAACCACTATAACCACTACATTGAACCAATATAATTGCAAGCTTTGCTTTTTTGGATTTTTTATGCAAGCTAATTAAGTGAATAATTTATTGCTATTGTTTCATATCTGAGTTGAGATAAACAATAGCCAATAATGATTGTAGGGAAATTCATTCAGTACAAATACTGAAGATTAGAAACAACACGCCTATTTCACAACTCATTGAACCTGTTTTCACTTGTCATAGGCCGCCTCGAGAACTTCGCGCGGTAGAAGAACTTTAGCCATATCGTTTGGCCGTACATGTTTGCTTATCAAGAACTTGAACTTTGTTATTATCATTGACATTATCACAAAACAAGATATTTCAAACTTATTACTCATTTGGCTCGAATACATGTTACTGATTTAATTTTTAATCGAACCATTTCTGGAATTCATCGGTTCATTGATACAAGTTTTATGAACCAATTTTTTAAATTAATTGATTAGCACCGTGCAAATAATTTTTAGTCGATAAGTTATGATATGAAAATAATTTCCAAAAACTGTGTAGCATGTTAGATGATTGAATGATTTACATTAAACATATGTATAAATACTTATGTCTTCATTAATTAAATCAAAAATTTTATTTAAATTTTCTATGACATTTTAGATTTATTACAAATATATTGAAACCATCATAACCATTAAAATTATTATAAATAATAAATATTTATAATTTAAAAATATTAATATATAATTGTTCTAAAAACTTAGACATATCATACATGACAATAATATAACAATGAACAAGTCCAACGTCTACTTAAATTATCAAGTCTTGGATTATAAATGTCAGGTTTACCAAATTGAATTTGTGGCGGAGACATTGTGTTGTCACAATGACAGTAATCATCGACATCTGTGGTTTATATATATTTATTACCCCGAAAATATATTTATAATAAACAAATAAAGTGCGTAAAGACATCAAAAAGGTCTTCTTGTGTAGTTAGAACATTTGAAACCTTACTTATTTACTTAGCTGAGCATTACAGACTTGAGTCGTCCTTGGCCGCGTTGAATAGCCTCCGCCAGTCAGCCAAATTACTTGCTTGTTGTCGCCAGTTGGCAGTATCAAGCGCCCTTAAATCGTTGGCCACCCACTCCGAAGATGCGAAAGGACTCATACAGCTCATCGTTTCATCTAATTTGATACTCGTCGCCAACGCGTAAGGGACTATAAATATTCCGAAAAATTTTTCCCTCGAATGCTAATAACGTCTTTGCATCACTGTTGGTAATTGTTCAAGCTTCTACACCTTACAGCAGGACAGGCCTGATAAGTGATTTTTAGAGCGTGATTTTTGTTTGTCGAGAGAGGGCTTTATTTTTCAATTGCCTACTTAGTCCGAAGTAAGATCTGTTGCCAAGAGTGTTGCTTCGTTGAGTCTCTAGGTTGACGTCATTTTTGATGTTTACACTAGTTCCAAAATAAACAAAGTCTTTCACAACTTCAAACTCATAATTGTTAACAGTGACGTGGGTCCCAAGACGCTCGAGAGATTTGTTTGTTGACAGAAAGTACTTTGAAGGCATTACAAATTTATATTAGTTTCTAAATAAACTCCTTCAGTGCTATAACAACAGTT